ACTTCAAGTTGATTTTGTGTCTGTCACGACAGCAGCTCCTCCTTCGCGCCAGCATGAAACTTTTTTGGACTTTTTGCCATTTTTACTGTTAACAATAATACAGAACGTAGAGGAAATGATGGGAAGAATATGCTGGAATGGGACTGGGAAACGGCACAAGCTAGATTTGAATTCGCAATGTTCACATGACCACCACAACATAGAGAATATGTGCTAAATGATAGTCCACATCATTTTAAAAGTGATTTTCTTTTAAACCAGCAATCAAAACTTAACTTCAGCATCAGATGGGGAACAAAAAAACGTATATAGATTGGGATACATTTTTTTAACCACAAAAAAACCCCCTGTAAATTAGATGATATAATGATGAATGATTTCCCGAATTAATAAGTCTCTCTTAGCCCAAGACTAGAGAGCGCTATAGACCGCTCCACACGTCCTGACGGGGTTATCGGGGTCTGGCGTACTGATCCACATTCCCACCGCAGCCCAAGAACTGGAATAGTACACTATAATTAGAGGCTTTCCACATGCTGCAGTTATTTAGCATGCTAATAAAGGACAAAGCTGACTTCTCAGAAGTATTACAGGTAAAAAAGTGAGAGTTTTGGGAAAGGTTTAGCTTATATGACACATACGGTGCAAAAAATGACTTCTTAATAAGTGAATTAGTGTTTTTTGACTTATTTTCCAGTTAAAATATCTAAAAAGTACAGTCTTCAATGTCACGATCCTTCAGAAGTCATTCTAATATGCTGATTTGCTGCTCATGAATCATTTCTTATTATTATCAATGCTGAAAATAGTTTTGCTGCTTAGTATTTTTGTATAAACCTTTTTTTTTTTTTTTAAATATATCAAATATTTTTTTATTTTATTTTTGGCTACATTATAAATGTCTTCACTAGGCAGCATTTCCATTACCCTTCAAATTGCGCAAATTGAAATTGCGAATTGAAAATACGCCTAATGGAAACGCGTCAATTTCGCAAAAACGCCCATATATCGCAAAAAAGTTTTTACGCTCACATGAGGTGGTTTTTCAGGCAATGTGAAAAAGGAATCATTCGCAAAACTGCAATGGAAACGACTTTTTCGCATTTACAGGTCACATGGTTTTTCGCATTTACAGGTCCTCCAGTATAAGGGGCTTTCCCTACCATTAATGCTTAGACAATTAACACAGCACACGTCTGTGGTGCAGTGTGGCTCTGATACAGCCACTGAAGCTGATTGCGGCCACAATGCATGTGTTTATTCCAGAATCCAGCCGCGCCACACACGTTTCTGAAGCGGCTCTCTGTGCTGCTTCTGTAAAGGTACACGCATACGCCTCCTTTGAATAATTATAGCCAAAATCCGTCAAAATCCCACCAAAATCCGTTGCCATGACTTATCGCAAAAGGCAAAAGTTTACGTTTTAGTCGCATAACATTGGTTAATGGAAACGCCCTCATTTCGCAATACTTTTTTATCGACATTTATCAAATATCGCCAACGTTTTGCGCAAATCTGTAATGGAAACGCGCCTACTGTCACTTTTGATCAAGTTTAAGCATTTTTAGACATTTACACTGGAAAACCAGTAAAAATACTGATTAAGTAAAGTTATAACCCCAACTAATCTAACCTGTTTCACACTGTAAGCAGTCATAACAATAAAATGACACATTACTGCCCATCAATATTTTAACAATCTCACATTGTCATTTATGCGGGTCCTAAAACTACATTTTTTTTGATCGGCATTTCACAGCTGTTTTTAGAATGCGAGAAAACCTGCAACAGACACGTCTGTCATCCTTAAAGACGCAGCCTGATACTACACATTACACAACACGTGGCCCGGAGCCATCGGGGTGAACAGTGAGCTCTTACGGATAAAGCCAGTCCAATCTTTTCTTACATTCCTCTCTCTCATTCTTTGTTCCTCTGCGAGACATTATACTCTAACAAAGCATGACACAAGAAGCATTATAAGCCTCCAAGTTTCATATTGAAAGGAAAACATGGAAACAAAAGGGGCAAAATCCAACTTCAGGGATGTACACAGGGCATACAGAGCAGAACGAATGCCCGGATTGACCCATTTTACCTCAGCGCGCCGCACAGAGCCTCTACTGTACGTGAAGTTAATAATAAACCCACAACAGATCTGCGCTAAGCGTCGTTGCCTGGCCAAACACGGCTTGTTGAAAGTTGGATTAGATTTACGGTCCGCCGGGTGTTGGCGATCGTAAAAGTGGGATTATTAAAATAACTTTAGAAAAAGGAAAGATTGTGTACACAGTGTTCTTGTAAGAGCAGGCGAGGCAGAACAAATACATTTTGAGGTCTTAACTTTCTTTTCGGCGGTTTTCTTGGTAAACAGCACGTCTGACATTCCTGGTGTCAGTCTGAATAAGTAGGTGAGTGTTGATATCCGAGAAGTGATAGATTTCTCTCTGCCTCCGACACTGACTGTCTAGTTTTGGATGGAAAAGGGGAGTTTAAACAGGAATTCTACTACCTTCCTGTCGCAGGTTTCCATCATGGTTGCCTGAACGGGTAATTACATGCGCGGCGGCGGGGCAGGGGGGCGGAGGGAACGGACAGGCAGTGAGGGTTTTGAGCTTTGCCACTGTGTCATTATGGTCCTGTTTGAACCTTATTCAGAATAAGCAGCCTGAAGGCTGCGGCCAAACAGCCCGAGCTTTTCCTCATGTCGGGCCAAGTCGTCCGCCCGCCCGCCCGCCAAACCTCTTTTTTCGTTCTTGCAAAAAAAAAAAAAAA